CCCACTCGTTCATATTCCTTAGGTGCATCTTAGAGAGCCTAGAAAAGAGCAGAGCAGTGAAAGCTGCAACTCAGCCCTCCTTGAAGAGCCACCTGAATCACTGAAGTCAGGAGACTGCTGTACTGGAAGATTAATGGGGCAAAACTGAGCAAGAGAAGAAATCGCAAATTACACTGAAAAGCTTTCCATTGATTTTCTATCGTCAATTCCTATTTAAGAAGAAAAAGGGATTACTGTATTGCTGCCCTGCTTATCCCAGCATTGATAAACTATAGAACTCAAGAAGCATGGCTATACATAAGAGGCAGGTGTGTGTGGCTAGCTCACTGACGTTAGCACTGGGACTGGTCTTCTTCAGTTCAGCCACCTTGGCAGAGGAGTACGACTATTACAGCTGGCAATCCGACAACTTCCACAATGGCCGCTTTTATGCCAAGCAACCACAGTGTGTGGACATCCCGGCCGAGCTACGTCTCTGCTACACCGTTGGCTACAAGAAGATGCGACTTCCCAACCTGCTGGACCATGAGACCATGCCTGAGGTGATGCAGCAGGCAGGCAGCTGGGTACCCCTCCTGGCCAAGCGCTGCCATGCAGACACGCAGGTGTTCCTCTGCTCACTGTTTACTCCTGTGTGCCTGGACCGGCCCATTTACCCCTGCCGCTCTCTGTGTGAGGCTGTCAGGAACAGCTGTGCTCCTGTCATGGAGACCTATGGCTTTCCCTGGCCTGAGATGCTCCAGTGTGACAAGTTCCCCATTGATAATGATCTCTGCATCCCTGTGCAGTTCTCTGGGAATCATGCCACCCAGACTCCAGGTACGACTAACAAAGGTTTGAGAAATCTATTTTCTTTTTCAAATAGAGTATTTAGAAACAAAAAAAACCCCAACTGATTAGTACAATGTTACTTATTAAAGGATTAGTATAAGTATACACCAATAAATGAGCCAAAAATGAAACGGTTCCTGACAAAAATACAGAAGATATGTCTACTGAGACTGTCATATGACTGCTTGAGTCTATACAAGAAACTTTATATAATATTTATGGAGGAAAGTTAGTAATAATTTTTAATGATTTTAAAAAAATAAATATATGATATACTTTTTTATAAGCACAATGTAGTACAGTGAGTCAGTAATTGTTTTTAATAATTGTACATAATATATAATAAATGACATTAAAATTAAAATATTTAGAATTTGCATAACATTTGCATCATTAACAGCATTAAAAAGTTCAGCAAAATTCTATACTTAAACTCAAACTCATACTTATTCATATTGCATTGAGTAATGCAGAGGCTATGAGTCGATTACTGGTTAAAATAAATTAATAATAATAATAATAATAATAATAATAATAATAATAATAATAATAATAATAATAATAATTATTATTATTATTATTATTATTATTATAATAGCTCCAGGTTCCCCCGCGACCCCGAAGAAGGAGTATGCAGTAGAAGATGGATGGATGGATGGATGGATGGATGGATAATAATAATAATAATAATAATAATAATAATAATAATAATAATAATAATAATAATAATAATAATAATAATTTGGTCATATTTGTTTAGACAAAGTGAAAATCACCAGTTCTACTTAATCATTCTTTATTTTCTCTTTGTGAGTCTTCAGAAAGTGAAGGCAGGGAATTCACGTACAATTAGAGAGACAAAAAGTACTTTAAGCTTTCACTATCTACAAGTGAAATCTCATTTGGAATGTGAAGGGGCAACTTCTGTTGTGTCTGGTCTCTCTCTCTCTCTCTCTCTCTCTCTCTCTCTCTCTCTCTCTCTCTCTTTGTTTAGCCAATTAGCCAGGAAACCAATTCCAGTGGGTAACTAATTAGTACATTAGTGCATCAGTTAGCCTCATTGAAGATATAAGTACCAATCATAAAAGAAAGAAAGCTGAAGTGGAAAGAAAAGTAAAAGAGAGGAGAGAAGAGGCAGTGATATTAAGTAATCATTGGAAGTAAGGAAAGAAGCATGTTCTTTGTCAATATTCAGATAATTTACAAAACATGAAAAACAAAGAAAAAAAGGGAGTGGCCAAAATGAAAGACATACGCAGTGCATTCTTTCCTTGTCTTAAGAGAATCTGTGAAGCAAATTCAACGTATTCTTTTCTTTTTATTTCTTTTTGAGTTGAACTAGCGTGGGTTGTCTATTAAAACATAATGTATCCTTGTGCTAAAATAAATTCATACCAATGGGGAAAATGTCTAAGAATATTATTAATTGTACACTTAGATATTAATTATTAATATTTTAATTAATAATACAAAACATTTCAATTCATGCAAAGGTTTGAGTGTAATACATTTACATTTACATTTACATTTACATTTATTCACTTAGCAGACGCTTTTTTCCAAAGCGACTTATAAATGAGAACAAATTTATAAACATGTCAGACCCCTATTTATATACTTACATAATAATTTATAGACAAATTGGGAACAGTCAGTTTTTAAGTCTACTCTGTATGGGTTCCTTTGCTGTTCATCAACTGAAACTGAAAAATAGTGATTGTACCATATATGTATAACACCCCAAATTAGTGTTTATTGTTCACAAACCATGTGTCTGTGTGTGTCCTGGGTGACAAAAGAGGAGAGCTAACAAGTCAGGAAGTGAGGAAAACATCAATCATACTGACTTCATACATGTTGTAAAAATACAACTGTTCCAGTGTTATCACAACCAGAAAGAAAAACAGAGTAATTGCTTTGCGAAATGGAATTCAGTTCTACACAGTGCTTCTGCTCTGACCCCCTGCTAACCTCAGCTATAAGCAGCTTGGCTTTAGTTCCAAACTTAATCTCAGAATTCTCTAACATATTGATTGCATAATTTTGAGTAATCCAATAACTTCCTGTGTCCTTTCAGCTACATTTCTGCAGTGAGGCTCTTTAGCTATCCTGCAATTACATGTCATCATATGGTCCAAAGGTATGAAAGCTAGCAGTACTGCTTAACCAGAGTGTAAATTGTCACACCTAATGCGTGAGGCAGCACGTTGCCAAACGTTCACACTGATTTACTAAAGGGGCATGGCGATGAGAAACAAGAGAACATGGTGAAACAAGCACACATAATACGGATGGGTTTGGTTTTTTACTGGCCTGTCGAGCGCTCCAGTACACAGTGAATGGTTGTCTAAGCAAGGTAGAGGGGGTTTTCTTCTGTTGTCTAAGGTGAAATCCTCCAGGGCCAGTTCACAGCCAAGATCTGAGTTCCTGAATAGGGATCTAGAGAGTACCATGCCTAAATGATGGATGCTTTCTGATAAATGGCATTTCTACAGTAAGGGAGCAATGTGGGTGGGTGTTGGGCTTCAGACATTAATTACAATAGCAGAGGAACATTTTTCACGTGTGAGGCATGCTTGTTCTCTCAAATCTAAAGCCAAACTGACAGAGCAACAAATGCGATCCTCTTTTAAAAATATGATCATCAATTTGTAATGGTTTATGTCATAAATGTTTTATCATTTACCTTTCCGAGAGCAAATGAGCCATAAAATTATTTATTCTGAATCGAAATGAAATGTTTGCCCTGTACAATCGAGTTATTTGCTGGAAAAAAAGGAGCTATGTGCCTAGAGTAGACAATATAGCATTCAAGTTATACATAGAATACATACAAGATATCAGGCAATAAATAAATAACATGCATTATAATGATAAACTCTGAGATATCCTTACATTTTATATTTTCCAAAGGACTGCAAATAAAAAGCTTAGTCAATAATGATCAATTTATACATATTTGAAGATATGTCAATTAAAAATAAACCATGTTTGTTTTTGTTTTTTTGTTTTTTTATAATGATGCTTTACTGTATTCTGGGTGCATTTAGTTAAATCTGATCTGAACTGAAAGCTCTAAATCAGATAATCTGCAGCAAATTCAAAAGGCACCTCTGTAACATTTACTAATAGATGCACTATAAATTATTTGCTTGGTAGGGGGTAGTCTTGGGTAATAACTTTTTAATGTGATCCAGTCAGCCTTAGTGACTTGTAATCATATATCTAATGTATCCACAAAGGATATCTAAAAGAACCAAAAAAGATAAAATGCTAAATGCTTGCCTGAATCAACTGCAAATAGCTTGAGACGGTCTATTAATGTGAGTCGATCACTAAATCTACACAGAAACTCAGTTTGCAGAATTCCCAGTGCTAGCTTTTCAGGCACATGCTTTGGCTTTACTTCAAGTGGGCAGCCTGCCAATAAACCACCCAGCAAACGTGAATAATTTACTCTGCAGTTCAAATAAGATATTGCAGTTTCAAGAGTGTGGCTGTCGGACAGTGTTAGAGACTGAAGTCATTAAGTGAAATGACACAGTTCTTTTCACTAAGAAAGAGATTGCGTGAGTGTCAATAGCTAAGCTGCTGACTAGAGTTCTCAAAAAATTTATATCAATTTTGGATGGTCAGTGCATATAGAGGGGGTTTGCCACCACTCGCCACCACCCAAGCAATGAAACCTACCGAACTTTAACCCTTCATATTATCTGCTAGAGTAGTTGCACTAGTGACAGGGGTGATAAACTCTGACCCTCATTTTTCAACCTGGAAGAAGGAATCAGAAGGGGGGCATGTAAACGCTTAACCCCAGGCACATTTGCTCTCTTTGGTGCTTTCTAGAAGTTTTGATGAGTGCTCAGTGAACAGAATACAGATGCATACAGATCTCATTTCTAACCTAAATCCTCAATAGCCAATTGATAGAAAATCTTGATCCAGTTACTACATTTCTGTTTAGTATACACAGGTTCCTTAGTAGTTCACTAAATATTTAAGTGTTGATAGGAAAACACTCTATATAGAACCTTTAAGTAATCGCCCAAAGGAACAACCAAAGTAGAATGCTGTAAAAGGACTGTTGAAAAGAGTCTAAGGAGTGGAAAACTGCAAGGTGATAGAAAACCTGGAGCTAGACAGAAAAAATATAGAAATATCAATGCTGGCGTACAGTGGCTTAGTGGTTAGCACGTTCGCCTCACAACTCAAGGGTTGGGGTTTCGATTCCAGCCTGTGTGTGCAGAGTTTGCATGTTCTCCCTGTTCAGCAGGGGTTTCCTCCGAGTACTCAGGTTTCCTCCCCCAGTCCCAAGACATGCATGGTAGGCTGATTGACATGTCCAAAAGTGTCCGTAGTGTATGAGTGGGTTTGTGAATGTGTGTGATTGTGCCCTGCAATGGATTGGCACTCTACCCAGGGTGTACCCTGCCATGTGCCCCATTCTCCCTGGGATAGGCTCCAGGTTCCCTCAAGGATAAGCAGTATAGAAAATGGATGGATGGATCAGTGCTGCTGGCATTGACAATAAAAGATCAGTTGAAACATTTGATGCAAACAAGAAAGTGCATGTTAGTACGTTGGTGTTTACTTACATAACATAACACAAGCGTATTAAGTGTCCATAATGGTATTTTTTTCTTGTCCTGGGAAATGTACAAAGAATGAAATATATAGTCATAAGTTGTTAGTCACTACACACAAGCAACTAAGAGTTCCTTGTGATATATTACAATACCTAAAAATATGTCTGTCTTAAAACTGCATCTGATATAATTTTACCATGTAAACTACATGAGAGTACATTGACTTAAAAGGCCATGTAAGTGTTGTTGTTTTTTGTTCTTTTTGTCAATTCTTGTTAAAATGTGCTTACAGTCTGGATGTAGTACGCTAGTAGGCTAGCACCAATTTTTATTAGCTAAAACTGGCAAGTCCATAGACAACATTACTGTAACACATTTTACATTCATCAAATTATTTATAACCACATAGACTTTCATTTGTGGAACAAAACTGCTTGAGTTTGTGGAAGAATTCTGAAGTGACTCACTGCAGAGGAAATCAAACATCTATTCCCTCTCATTATTATTCTGAAAGCAATGGATTAAGCATTATTAGTCCTGGCCTTTAGCCCCTTTTTGAGAGCAGCAGTGGTGCGCTTTACATGCCTCCCTGTCTCTCTGAACAAAATGAGACCCCATTAGAATGCACATACACACACAAGTATTGCTGTGAACACACAACAGTCTCTATGCCTGTAAAATGTCTTAGCTCAAATTATAAATTATACATTCGACCTATGGTTTAAAGTGCATCAACATAATATTTTCCATAAACTGAGATTTAGCAAATACAATTATCCCCATTCTTGCATTTGTCAGATTTGTTCTTGTTACTGGAGCCACCAGAGGAGAAACATATGACTTCAGCTGTCACTCAGTAGTTGCTTGAAAAAAAATCAGGAAAGTGCATTTTTCTGTGGCAGGTTTTTTTTTTTTTTTTTGCCATGCCTGTACACTAAAAATATACACGTATCTAAATTCAAACATTTTCACCATCTTAATTGCAAGCCAAACATTGCACCAGACACCTGTTCTGTGTATCCTCACCGCAGAAAATAGCATCTGACAAGACGAAACTCACAAAGTGTTTACAAAGTGGTCAGTGCGTCTGTGAACCTGACTGCAGACCCACACCTCCCTGCAGCTGATTTATACAAGGCCAAATATTGTGTCTGTCCTGCATGAGGGACATGAACCCACTGTCTTTATCAAAAACAAAAACAAAGTAGGACTGTCATATCGTTTTGAAAATAGTCAATCTGTCATCTGTTTTTTCTCATTTTCTCTTGCCAGCTTCAAAAGCGTGTCCACCCTGTGACAATGAACTGAAAGCCGACACAGTAATGGAGCACTTCTGTGCCAGTGACTTCGGTAAGTGAGAATCTAACATTGCTACACACACACACACACACACACACACAGACACACACACACACACACATACAACAATCCTTGTGAGGACCTTCCATTGACATAATTCTTAAATGCAGCAAATTAGAGTTAATGGCTATTAAATCGAACCTTATCCTGAAACATAAGTAACAAAAAGAAAAATGTAGACACATTAATCCATCCCCTGCTATTGCAAAAACCCTTTTTTGAATTTTTGAAGTATTTGAATTCTGTGTTGAAAACAGTGTTCGGCAAAATGCTGAGTTGTTTACCTGCTCAACTAATTTCTCCAAAATGAGAAACACATGCTGTGTGATTCACCAGCATTCATGAGACAGGTGCTTTCTGTTATGCAGGAAAACTAGTCAGAATTGTAATACTGTTGGTATTATTGGATGTGAAAGTAGCAAAAATATAATAATATACAATATAATAACACAGTGGTTTAGTGGTTAGCACATTTGCCTCGCACCTCTGGCACTGGGGTTCAATTCCTGCCTTTGCCTATTCTCCACGTGCTTTGGGGGTTTCCTATGCGTATTCTGGTTTCCTCCCCCAGTCCAAAGACATGTGTTGTAGGCTGATAGTCATCGCTAAATTGTACGTAGTTTGTGTGGATGGGTTTGTGAGTGTGTGTGCAACTGTGCTTTGCAATGGGTTGCCATCCCATCCAGGGTGTCCCCCGCTTCATTCCTTTGTGTTCCCTGGGATAGGCCTCAAGTGACCCTATGTGGAATAAATGGTATAGACAATGGATAGATGGATGGATGGATATTAATAATTTTAAAATACTATGTAACTCTGTGTTCCACATTGTGCAAGAAACAAAATCTCTCCTCTATACTGGCTGAAGTTCTCTAAAGTTTGTCTGAGCTTCCAGAATGTCTGGTACTGACCTATTAAAGGTGGATCTCTAAGAACTGTATTTCTCTGTTCAGAATTGGCTAAAGAAAAGTTCAGAAAAGCCTTTATAAAGTAAAGGCCATGAAGTGGCTTCATTCTGTCAGCTGTTTTTGGCTGTACAGCTTGTTTCACTTGGATGTAGCCACCTACGTTTGTATATAATCACATTTAAGTATGACAAATTACTTGCACCAATGTGTTGAGTAGGAGGATTGACTGTTCCTTTATTGCAGACATTTGGACAGACAGCAGTCATATTGAATAAATATTTGTGACTGCTCACAAGCAAATGTCCTAGTTAATCACTTATTTAAAAGTAAGCCTAATTAATAATTCTTTGCTCATATTTTCCTGTTACATAGTACCATTTAACATGCATTCACTGTTATTTTGATATATTTCCTTGGTGGCCTGTACATAAATGTTGTACAGTATTACGTTCCATAACTGTATGGTCTATTTGATTCACTTGGATGTTATTTAAAAAAAATCTTTTTGTAAAGTGTTGCTTCCAGTTACCACAAGGAAATAACATTCACTACATCAGAGGTTCTGTATTTACTAGAGTGCCAGCACAATTATTATTATGAAGGCCATTACTAAAAGAACTTGTTCGACTGTCTTAATTGGCCAATGAACAACATTTTTACTGTCCTTTTTTATTTTTGTATGTTTGAGCCTAATTATGTGTCTCAAACAGGACACTTTTAATACTTCTACAATTTCACACTACTCAGAGTGAGAAGCAGCTTCTCATGGGCAAGAAAAATCAATGAAAGAGACTAGTGAAGGTGATGTTTAGTGTACTGTAAATCTCATGGTGAGAACATTTACAGGGCTTATTACATTTAAAGACTGCCAAAAACATTCATGAAGATAAAAATAAAACTAGTTGTAAAGTGTTTCTGGTCAAAAAAGCTGTTATGAATTTTCCACGCTGTCCAACTCAATAACAAGAAGGTAAACTGAATAGAAATTCACTTTTTGATCCTAAATTCCCTCACAGAATTTGAACTGCAATGCATGATTCACAAATTATGAGAGATTAGCTGTGTTGGATTTGTCTGAAATCCTCTATGGTACTAGCTTCTTTTTTATACTTTCACTGATAAAATAAAAGTATGTAAGAATCTGGATTACAATTTTGGCTGATTGTGAGTTTACTTATTTTTACTGATTACTAGGAAATACAGTACATTACAACTTTCACTGTCATGTGTTAGAACCCAGAACTGATAAATTACTATCTGTAATGTAGTACATCAATCAGATTACCCAAAATGACTCAAGTATAAATATACACAGATTCATGTACTACATTAGTCACTTGCTCATGGTCACTGTATTTTTTTTTATAGTAATTCACATGAACTGGGGTGGAGGAGAGCTGGGGGGGTACAATTTACAGTTTTTTCACTTACCTCAATTCAAATAGATCAGCCAAGACATGTCTCTGTCTGTGGTTAGTAGGTAATCGAATGTTATCATTATTCACAGAAAATCCCTGATCAATTCTTTATAATGAATTCCTTTTTAAAAAGCTTTTCTGGCTGAGTTCTACAGAAAAATGACAGTTTGAAACTTTAGATGAGCAAGTTATTCAACAAAACACCAATTTACTGTTCCAACTAGTTGAATCGAAGTTTTTAGATGCTAACAGAGCTCATTTAAACAAGATTTTGTGCATTAGCACATCTGCTATATTATTGCAATAAAAGAAAAAACATGATCTGTTTCTGCTCAGAGTGAATACCTCTCCCTACCTGCATTCATCATCCCACTCCACCAGACCAACCAGCCACAATTTAGACCAGCTCTTGTTTAAAACATAAGTTCAGCTTGTCATCACAATATGGCCCAGGCTTGCTCATACTCACAGAGCATTATTGCTCATGGGTAAGTATTAAAATCAAAGCTTATGTATAGTTAATCTCTGGATTGTAAGCTACTTCAAAATGCAGCATAACTCTATGAGATAACAGAAGCCCTTGGCTATTGTGCTGTCCAGCTGGCCCTGCACTGTTTTTTCTCCACCTTTCCATACAGCTTTTTTTGATTATTTAAATTTTATTTGTATTTTTTTGTTACATATCCTCAATACTTTTGCATTCTGTGTGATGTTTCTGGACGAAATGTTACTGTTAAACTAATGTTTATGCTGTTGTCATAGCTCAGTGTGGAGAACACTAAAGATCTGTCTTTGCTAAGGTGAAGCCACTTAAACTTCTACTGGCACTGAGGATCAAGTGGGATCTGAATAACTTAATCCACCACCAATAACAGAATATATGCTATAGTATATGTATGCATGTTTTTTTCATTAAGATAAGTACTATAAACAATATTGTAAGTGTTAATGAACATACATGTATCACTGATTGG